TTTATGGTGCGCTTTACTGATAAAGACACTTGGAAGGAACATTGTGTCGCTATACAGAAATGGACTCCATACTTTGATCTTATGAACAACGCCCTGCGAAGAATGGTCGTATAGACAAGGATTCCTAACATTCCCATGCATGGTTATAATCCACATTTTCTGATAAGATTCAGGGAACGGTTAGGGAAACCTATCAAGGTAGACTTGAATATAGTCTCAGAAATTGCTCAGGCTGATAGAGATAATGATAGGGGTCATTTTGCCAGAGTCTGTGTGGAGATCGATCTGCAGAAGAAGCTTGTGCCTGGGTCATCTTTGGAAACATACTTTTCAATGTGGAATACGAAGGAATTGGTCTGATTTTCTTCCACTGTGGCAGATATGGACATAGGAAGGAGGCATGTCCTTGGAGAAATATGTCCTCGCATGAAGGTGAGCATAATCAAGAATCTGTTCATGCTGAACATAATACTATGAACAGCTCAATGTTACATTCTCTGATGACTAGCGGCAATCGCTTTGGGTCCTGGATGCTTGATCCTACAGTAGAAAAATTTCATTTCTCGAGACACACAAAATCACGTCATGCTCAGAGTGACCAGGGAAGCAACTCCAAATCAACGAGGAAAAGTGGTAACCCCAGAAATATGTCTCGCTATGTAGTATTAGCAGACCTCAAGAAGCTGCCAATGATGATTCTCAAGTCACTCGTTGCACGAAACTGGTTCCTGTAAACCCAGATGAAATAGACTTGGGGGTTGTAGATACACTTATCCCTGATGTGACACTTATCAATGAGATAAAGGTACCTTCTGTCAACCTGACCTCCTTAGACTCTTCTCCCAAAGCACCCTTGACCCTCCCGTCACCATGGGAAAGAAGACAACAGGGTTGTCTTAAAAGAAAAGGCGCCATCAACAACCCAGAAAGAATCCTCTTCTTCACGAATTGGGCCTTTACACACAAGTCCAAAGAAAACCCCATAGAAACACAGCCACTGTGAACATTTAATTGTTGAAGGAAAAAAATCTTCTATGGGCCGCACTACAATCCATTCACAACCCAAGTCCATTCCTAATGTCAATCAAGTATTTGCTAGACCCACATGTAGAGATAAACCCAGCAAAGAGTTAACTCAAAAAGCTAGGCTCATAAGTACTATTAAAGATTTGGCCAAGGCTCACCCTCTGCATCTACCTAATTTGTCCTCAAAACCAGTCCAGACTTCTATAGAAGAGACATCCCAATGGATCATGATGGTTTGAAGCCCCTTGCTTCAATTATCCATACATGTATTACTGGGAATCAGTAAGTTTCCTAGATCCTCTTTCTTCTTGTGTGTTTAATGATTATAGCAAGCTGGAATTGTAAAGGTGCTGGGGGAAGGAATTTCTCTCGTATCTTCAAAGACATTGCCTTTAAATATCATGTTGATATCTTTTATCTTATTAAAACTCGTATTAGTAGCAATAAGGCTAACTCTGTGATTCGTAAATTAGGATTCTTGAACTGGCTTCGGATTGAAGCTTCTGGCTTTGCTGGAGGTATTTGTGGAATGATAACAAAGTTCAGGTTGATTATGTATCCTCCAATACTCAATAACTTTACTGCAAAATTACTGATAGGTCTTCACAGAAAGTTTCTTTTGTGTCATTCATTTATGGTGAAACCTCATACATAAAAAGAAGACAACTCTGGAACTTTATCTCGACCATTACTTCTACCACTGCTGAACCTTGGCTCCTCATCAGGGACTTTAATGCCTATCTTTCCCCTAATGATAAGAGCGGAGGTTCACATATTGATTGGACTTCCATGCAAGATTTTAATGACTACATATTTAATTGCAATCTTATTGATCTTCCAATAATCGGTGATATATTCACATGGGAATGTACAGGTATTAAGGAGAGATTGAATTGGTCTTTCTGCAATAATACTCGGTCTTCTACATTCCCCACTGTTAAGACCTCTTACCTTCTCAAGTACAAATCTGACCATAGAGTTACTCTGATTTTGGATTCTACGTGTCATCCTCCACCTAGACACAAGAAGCATTTTAGATATAACGTGGCTTAGGTTGTAGAGAATGACTTTTAGAACCTTATTGAAAAAGCTTGGTTCGATAATAGTTGGCTTGAGGGCGTTTCAACCTTTTCTTCTGAAGCTTCCATATGGAATGAGCGTTGCTTAGGCAATATTCCACACAAAGAAAGTCAAATCCTTCATCGGCTTGAAGGAATTCATGCATCAAGAAGAATCAATGATAGGAATGGTCTTTTCAAACTAGAAAAATCCTTGTGGAAAAAGTATAATAAGCTAGTTGCACAAGAGGAGTTAATTTGGTGGCAAAAGTCAAGGCAGAATTAGCTTTACTTTGGCGACAGAAACACCAAATTCTTTCATTTCTTTGTAAATTTTAGGCATAATAAGGATCACATTGAATCTCTTCTTAATGACCACAAGGAATGGATACATAATCAGAATCTTTTGAGAAATATGGCCTTTGAATTTTATAAAGATTTGTAAAGAAGAGATGAAAACCTGTACAACTTTGATTCTCCCGCCTCATTCCCTCTTCTCAGTCTCGAATCACTGTCAATGATTCAACAAGATGTTACAGAGGTTGAAATAAAAAATGTGGAATTTTCTATAGGTGCCTTTAAGGCCCTAGGTCCTGATGGTCTCCAACCACACTTCTTCCAAACCCAATGGGATATTATTGGCAACCACATTTGCAGTCTTGTTAAAGAAATCTTTTGTGATCTGTCCAAGATGAGGGATATTAATCATGCAAATATTGTCTTATTGCCTAAAGGGGATCGACCCTCTTCCTTGAAGGAGTTCGGACTCGTATCCCTTCGTAATGTGAGTATGAAATGAACAGGAGAACTCTAAAAAAATCCATCTTGTTGCTTGGGCACAAATCATCAAGGATAAACAAGAGGGTGGCCTTGGTATTAAAGATCTTTAGACCTAAAATCTAGCCTTCATCTTTAAGCTTTGCTGGGGCATGCTCACTAAGCCCAATAGTTTAAGGGTGCAATGTCTTAAGGGCAAATATGGATGGAATGTAGTTACTACAAGCTCGATGAAGAACAACAGACAAGCCTCCACCACTTGGGCAAGTATTAAGAAATTTTGGGATCACTTCATACTAGGTGTTAGCAAGAAGATCAGAAATGGCTCAAACACTAACTTTTGGTGGGATACTTGGACCCCATTGGATGAACCTCTTAACAATTCTGTTAATTTCAACTGTAAAATTTTCAATCCTAATGCTCTGGTTAAAGACTTCATTCTGGGAAACGGTTCATGGGATCTTCAGCACTTTCAAAACCTCCTACCTCCCGTTATAATAGATTCTATCAACTCGGTCAGAATTGGGATTGATCAAGGTCAGGACATTTATGTCTGGCGAAACTCATCTGATGGCACTTTTTTTGTTCAAGCTACATATCGTTTCATTAATCGGCCTTCCAAAACTACTAATCATCAAATATGGAGGACTATATGGAAAAGTCCCTTGCTGGAGAAACCAAGATTTTCCTTTGACAAGCTTTCCAAGACATATTGAGAGGACATAGACACCTTACCAATGATTCCATTGTGCTACAATTTGTGTGTCAGAGAGGAAAACACTTTACACATATTGAGAGACTGCAAAATTGTTAGAGAGGTGTGGAATGTTATTCTTAATGCTAAAATCAATTCTACATTTTTTTCTGGTAGCTTGCAAGAGTGGATAAGCAGAAATCTTCAGGAAAGGAATAACACCAACTGTTTCTCGAACTGGCCTTGGATCAAAGTATTCAGTACCGTATGCTGGCTCTTATGGACCAGGTATAAAGCCATTTTCGACAACTACAGAGTCAACCTCTCAAACATCAGACATTTGTGTCTTCACAAACTAATGGAAGAAAGTCAAATCAACAATTTCAAGAACCAGTTTCTCCAAATTCATCATAGATCTAAAACCAAGTGGATCCCTCCTCCAAATGATAAACTTAGATTCGATGTGGATGCGTCAGTGTTAGATAATCATCTCAGTGCTTGTGGTGGTGTCATAAGGAATTCCTTAGGCGACTGGATCCTTGGTTTTAAACAGAAATTGGGTTATGTCTCTTGTACTGAAGCTGAACTTCGCTCAATTGCAGTTGGTATTCAAATATGCCTTCAGAAACAACTTTCATCTGTTCGCATGTTCATTGATTCCTTAGAAGCTGTGAATCTCATATTTCGAGACGGCAATCCTGATCATCCGTTATGGTCGATAATTCAAGACATTCGATCATCTCTGATCTTTCTCCTTGACTTTGAGCTTCATCACTCTCACAGAGAAGGGATTGCCTGTGCTGATATGCTATGCTGGCCCGAAATGCTCACTACAGCTCCTTTTTTAATCTCCTGTTATGATGTTATTCTTCCTAAATGTGCTTCTACTGTTATGAATGATAGAGATTTATTTTTTCACACTGTTTAGTTTTATTTTCTAATCAAGATTTTGCTTGCCTTTTTTAATTAAAAAAATTATTTAATTGATAAAATGGATTATTATATATTAAATATTATATTAAATGTATTTAAAGTTATTGGGCGGAAAAAAATCTAAATACATCAGTTTTCGGCATGAGTTACACACAATGTTCATAAAGATAATAATCCAACAAATATTAAATCTTCAGTTCAAAATAGCCGAAAAATAGTGTATAAAAAAATACCTGAAAAACTGAATTGTCAAAGCTTAATTTAGAAGTTTTCTTTTTATTCACATTTAGCATATGATAATTCTGGATAATATTCAACACCTTTCATAGACTTGTGTAGCTAAAATCTAAAATAATATTATCATTGCATCGAGGACTTAAATTATTCTAATGATTATAATTTTAAATATTTATCTTCGAATGAATATTGCCCTGGATATATGTTAACAGTCAGCACATCACAAGTAGGTAATTTAACTTCATATATTTATTTGAATAGAGAAACGAAAACGCTCTCGTCTATCGAGCTTCCTTCCCTTTCTTTCCCTATTTCTTAGTTCTCCTTTTCTTTGAATGTTAACCATCTACCACACTCCTATAGCCTTTCTTGCATTTTGCGCCCTTAAAGTTGTTATCTTTATAGAGTTCTGTCTTCTTTTCAGCTTTATCGTTAAATTTTGCAATTGTCTCATCTACGAGATGTTTCATCGTCAGCAACAAAATCGTGAGTTTGCATGGGAAGAGGAAAGTGAATCTGGGCATGAAAGCTACTCTTCAGGCTTCAATCCTTCAAATTCTCCATGAGGTGGAGATTTATGATTTCGTCTTCCACGACGGGGACCGATTATTCGTTTGGGTTCAAGGTTGACTCGAGAACGTCAATCCTGCCTTCGTTCTTGTGCTTATGGCTACATTTTAGATAAGAAAGTGATGAAACCAGAGCGCATTCGCCTAATTTTTGGTAATGCATGGGAGCTTCAAGGTTAGGTAAGTATTGAAGGAAGTAGCAGAAATCGTTTCCAGATTCATTTTGATAATTTTAAAGAGCAAAAACACGTCATCAAACATAGTCCATGGGCGGTGGAAAATTCAGTTTTGATTGTAGAAAAGTTTCAATCAAATGTGGTTCTGGAAAGAGCCCCTGTTCCCAAATTTAAGGTATGGGTTCAAGCTTGGGGATTACTGCTAGAATATTTTTCTGCAAAGGTTGCTCGGATTTTAGATAATGTGGTTGTTGAATTTGAAGAATATGAAGTAAATGAGCGAGGATTGCAGAATATCCGTTTTTTACGTTTTAGAGCAACTATTGACCCTGCCATTCCTCTACTTATGGGATGTCTAATTGAACTTGATGGTGATAATGAGTTGCTGGTGGACAAAGAGGAAAGATGGATTCAGTTTAAATATGAAATATATTTCGAATATGCTGTTCTTGTGGTTGTCCTGGTCATATTGAGAGAGATTGCAAATGGGATGAAGCTTTGATTGAACATACCCTGATGATACATAAAGCCTGTCTCACTGCACGTTTTGGGACAGATTTCTGTGAAGATTATTTTCATTTTCCCATGGTGTCCAGAGATAATATAGCTTTTTATAAAAAAAAAATCTTGTTCTCGAGGTACCACTGTTGTTACTTGGGTGGATAATGAGCATGGAGGTTATTACACAGTGAGCAAGAAGGCCCACCCAATTCCTATTGGTAAACTTCAAGTACCACCAGCTTCTACGGCTCAGAGTTCTCATTCTGCTTCAAATTCAGATCATCCTTCCTGGACAGAGTCTGATTCTGATGACGTTGATGATGATGATGATGTGTATTTGGAATGGAGAACAAAGTTCAGAGAAGATAAAGATCATATGCAGATTGAAAGAGATAATGCAAACTCTTCGAAAGAGACAGAAGAAAAAGATCAACATCAAACTTCTCAGGTGGAAATTATGGATCAAATACGCGTGGATGATGTTAATCCTACTGTTGATTTGAATTTTAATCCTTTGGGGATGATTTCTCGAGATAATTTCCAGAAAGAGTCAACAAGATTAAGATCTCCTGAAGGCACTCAAGTGATTTCACCGCTTCAGGCATTTTCTAAATAGGTACGGATTGAGAGAAATGATGATAACACACCGAATGCTGCTCTGTCTGAACGGGGGATACGTGGAGAGTTCATGCAATCACAGCAAGCTTTGTATGAACATTTACATTCAGAAGCTTTAGCAAATCAAGAAAATTTATCTCAATCTGGTTTTGTGCTTATTGCCCCAATTCCTGAATTCGACACGTTTGCAGATCATGTCGCGGGGCAGTGATCTGAAGATTTGACTCAGGTCTTGAACAATCAAAATAGGACGGAAAATAGAACTTTTTCAAGGATAGAGCCGCCTAGGATCCAAGAAGTGGTTCAGTCTTGGAGAGACGGAGGAATAGATAGAATTGCAATTGTAGTGGGCCAACTTACAATTTTGTTGAGGCTAAAATGAGTGCTCCCATTATACAGTCTTTGAAAACCCATGGATTGAGACTAATCCAACAGTGCAATTACTGCTTGAATTTTCTTGGGTTGATTGGGTCTATCAAGCTTTGGCCCACTTTGGGTATTCTGAAATTGGATCATCTCCCTCACCTGATCCATGGCCCAACAATTGGGCCTAAGTTATCCTTAATTCCCTAAATGCTGATGTTCGAATCTCTTACCTTCTTTGTTCCAGCCGCTTTTGGTTTATAACTTCACAACAGCTACTTTTGCCAGAATCGTTCCTTTGTGTCGTTCCTCTTCTGTCATAGAACTGACTCTTCCTAATGTGAGTGATGATCCACCTGATTTTTGGAATTGAGATTTTAGTCTAACTCGATAGTTTCCAGGTACAAATACTCAAAATCAACCAAACCAAGGAAGCAGTGTTCAAGGGTATCCACAAATTACAAGAGTTGGAAGCGCTGCTTCTGCTGCTGCAGTTAAAATCTGGCTTTCAGCATCATCCTCCAGAAATGAAACATCAGGTGGTATGAAGAGACCTTTTAATTCACTGCAACTGGAGATTGACATTTTGGAGGATTCTACAAAACATTCTCTGTGGTTTTACCGAGTTTGTGCCAAAAAAAAACTCCGTCTGGAAGAATGAAGGTAATGTCGTGGAATTGTCGTGGATATGGTAAGCCCACGGCAGTTCGACGTTTAAAAACTTTGGTTTGTAAATATAACCCAGACCTTTTGTTTTTGATGGAAACTAAACTTTCTTCTACTAAGGTTGCTAAACGGTCAAGTTCTCTGACTTTTGATAATGTAAAATATGTGGATTCTATGGGTTGCAGTGGAGGTTTGTGTTTGGCTTACTCTTCGCCGATGTCTTGTTCTTTTCTTGATATTTCCCCTCATTGGCTTCACGTTAGATGTTGTTATGGTAGTTATACTTTTCTTGTCACTTTCATTTATGGTTTTCCTACTTTAGTTTATCGTAAACTCTTATGGGAGCGGATTTTAAAAAACTGCATGTTTAATATGTGAACCTTGGGTTCTTACAGGTGATTTTAATCAAATTTCTGACTTTTCAATAAAGCTTATAATTTGGGGCAAGCCTCACAGGCTAACTCCCAAAAATTGAGGGTTGGGCTGAAAAAAATATTCTTTTTTTATATTCAGGGTCTATTGGGGTCAGCCTGAATACCCAGATAAAAAAATTTATTTTTTTAAAAAATATATAAAATATAATAAATATTGATTAATTATTTAAGTTTTAGGTTATTTTATATTAAAATACCATATATTTGAGTCTCATACATAATTTAACTATTAAAAAAATATTTTATATTTTTATTAAATAAAATAATTAATTTTAAAGTAAAAAATTAATTTAAAATAATTTTTAAAATAAAATTTGGATATTTAGGTTGCCTAAAACTCGAAAAAATTTGGGTCGAGTTTAGCTGTTTAGGCTTTCATTATTCAAGTTTGGGTCTATTCAGGCTGGGCTTGAATAGGCTTGGCCCACTCAAATTTCCAACTCTATTTTCAAATAAATGCAAAATGGATTTTACTACTCAAGGTGTTTTAAATTTTTCAAATCTCATTAATACTTGTGGCTTAATTGATACCCTTCCTTCAAATGGTTGGTCTACCTGGTGTAATAACCCTATGTGTAATAATTTTGTTAAAGAAAGACTTGATAAGGCTTTTTCCAATGCTTCTTGGTTTAATGTTTTTCCTAATTCAAATTCTCAGATTTTACCCATGTCGATTTCAGATCATGCTCCCCTATTATTTCAAACTGAGTGCAACATTTGCTTCAAAATAATCTTTAGATTTGAAAATTTTTGGTTGAACTTCAGAGAATGTGAATCTCAAATTTTCAAAATCTGGACCTCTTCTTTAACAGGTTATGTGGCTTTTCAACTTGTTCAAAAACTTAAATTGTTAAAAGCTTGTCTTTTAAATTGGAATAAATTTTCCATTGGTAAAATTTCGAACCGTATTGATCAATTAGAAAAAGATCTTCATCTTTGTCTGAATGATGGCATATCAGGAAATTCTGATAATTTCAGGCTTTTAAAATATGAATTAGAATTTTAGTATGATTGTGAAGAAACTCTTTGGGCACAAAAATCTTGTCTGAACTTGGCCTTTGCAAGGAGATAGAAATATCAAGTTTTTCCATACAGTTGTCAACAGCCGCAGAACTAATAGTAAAATCACACAAATTGAGGATGCCAACGGTTCTTGGATTTTCTCAATTCAAGATATTCAATTGGAAGCACTCTCAAACTTTACCTTTTTTTGGTTTATCAATGCTTTCAGAGGATAAATCTGAATATTTATCACAGCCTTGTACTGTGGAAGAAATTGAAAAAGTTGTTTGCCAGCTTAAGTCTAATAGTTCACCTGGTCCTGTTGGTTATAATGCTAGCTTTTTTCAACATTTTTAGGGTTTTCTTAAGAAGGACATTGTAAACTTGGTGCTATCTTTTTTTCATTCTGGTTTTTTATTAAAAGAATTAAACCGTACTTTTATTACTTTGATTCTGAAATGTAATTCTCCGAATACCTTTAACTTTAAATATTTTCGTTTTATAAGCCTAATGTTTTATATAAAATCATTTTCAAAATCCTTTGTAATAGGCTTAAGGAGGTTTTAGAAGAGTTTATTTCTCCAAATCAAAGTGCTTTTTTGAAAGGAAGATTAATTAATGATAATGAGCCCCTTTGTTTAAGATTAAAAATAAATGATTTTTATGTAGTTTAGAGATTTTTTAAAAAGAGATTTATTTTATATAGATTTTATAAAAAAAAGACATTATTTTATGTTTGGATATAATATAAAAAAGTGATTATTAGTTAGTTATTTTTAAATTTTATGATATCTTCGTATATCTCGCCTCTTTCAAACACTCTCACATCTACCGCATTAGATTATTTTCAGAAACTACTCTTACTTTTTTTAAAAAAAATTATTTTATAAATTTTTATGATGTTTGTTTAAACTTTTGAAAATAATCAAAAATTTACTTTTTGTTTGGATTCTGATTATTTTCAAAATATAAACAAACATCATAAAATAGATTTTTTTAAAAAATAAATAATGTTTTCATGAAATAAGCTAAAACAAATGGGCTCAATATCATGTTAGCTTCAATGTATGCGCAAAATTAAATCTTTTCGTAAAACAAAACATGCCTGGTGTGCTTTCAAAGTCGACATTGCATGATACGGTATCTTGGGAATTTTTGCAAAAAGTTTTAGAAATTATGAACTTTCGTTCTCATTTCATTAAGTTTATCATGCAATGCATTTCCACTGTGTCCTATCAAATGTTAATCAAAGAAAATCATTCAACTCCTATTTTTCCCAATAGGGAATTAGACAAGGTGATCCTTTATCACCTTATCTCTTCCTCCTTTGTGCTAATGTTTTATCTTGTATGATATCATAAGCAGAACAATTTGGGTGGTCGCATGGATTAAAAATTTCAGGTAATAATGTACCTATTACTCATCTTATGTATGCTGATGACACTCTACTTTTTTTGTAAGGCTTCTGAGGAAGATTGTAGAATTATGAAAGCAATTTTGCATATATATGGTGAAATATCGGGACAACAAATAAACTATGCAAAATCATGTCTAGTTTTTAGTCCTATTCCTTTTAAACAAAAAAAGTTGTCGGCTCATTCCATTGGGGTTAAATTAAAAAATTAGTTGGGTAAGTATTTAGGAGTCAAAGTGGATAATTACAATAATTCTAAAAAAAAAAAATTCATGATTTGGAGAAAAAAATTGGATAATAGACTTCAATTATGGAAAGCCAGATTGTTATCACAAGCAGGAGACTAACACTGATAGAATCAACTTTAAATTATATCTTGATTTATCCTTTGTCTTTTTATCGCCTTCCAAAATCTTTTTCTAACAAGCTTACAATGAAAATTGTCAATTTTTTTTGGGGATCATGGTAGTGATTCTATAGCTTTTCATCTATTAAAATGGCCTGAAATTTGTTGTCCCAAACATAGAGGAGGTATGATCATAAGAGATATTAATTTATTTAACCAGACGCTTCTTGCTAAAACCACTTGGAGAATAATAGAGAAACCAAATCCTCTGCTAAGTAAAGTCTTTTGTATTAAATATCTTCAGGATAGTTTCTGTTAAATAAGGCTAGTGCTTCTCCGGTTTGGAAAATTTTTTTGGCAGCGAGTGAAATGGTTTTGCAAAATTTGAAATGGATAGTAGGTAATGGAAAATCCATTTCTTTGAAAAGTCAGCTTTCATGGCCTTTGCAGCAGTCAGATTTTCCTTCTCTTGTTGAAAGAATGGAAGATCTTATACTGCGCCCTAGTTTATTTGGAATAGACAACTACTTTTTTCTTCACATCACCCTACTATAAAGCTTCACAAATTTTGCAAACACCATTATCTTTTACTAATCAAAAGGATTCTTTGGTATGGTTTATTAACTCTAATGGTAATTATACTGTAAAGGAGGATTATAACTGGCTAATTGAGATCCCTCTTTTAATCCTGGTTTTTCATGGAAATTCTTCTGGAAAATAACATTGTCTCCTAAAATAAAATTACAAATTTGGAAAATCATTTGAAAATCTTTGCCAACAACAAAATGTCTTTTGATTCACCGCATAAATATTACTAAAATTTGTTGTTTCTGTCAAGGTTCTGATGAATCATTGGATCATATTTTCCTGCTCTATCCTTTTGCTAGGGCAATATGGTTTGGATCTCCTTTAAATTTAAGAACATCTGCAGATCCAACTCAATCTTTATTTGAATGGATTAAACAATGAATTTTTTCTTTCATACAGGAAAAGGATCAACTGTCATATAATTCTGTGTTGCCTTTTTTTCATCATTGACTCTATATGGAGATGTAGGAACCAAAAATGCTTTCAAAATTTGAATATCATGCCAGCAGAAGCCCTTTTAATGGCATAAAGGAACTGTTCTTATTTCCTCAATTGTAATATGTTTGAAGTTCCTCTTCATCCTCAAACAAGTTATCAACACCCACAAGCTCAAGTTTATACGAGAAATTTCAAGAGAGATATTCTTCGAAGCTCGAAATCATGGAAAATATGTTGTTCAATTGGAAAATCCAAGAATGCCAGGAGGACTCATCTGCATATTATATTCAATAATTATACCTTATATTCCAGGGAGTCGAAGATGAAGATAAGGAACAACATACAACAATTTCTGCAGATGGTTCAATATGGCTCAATGTTCATCAATAATTAGCCTAGGATATCATCTTCGATATCTTTTTCGCTGATTATTTTGGTATCTAAGTCATCTTATATTCCAATCATTCTAGGTCATAGTACTTTATCTTGTAGATTATGTATATTACAAAGGGATATTTGAAGTATGCTCCAAATATTCCCTCAGACATTGTATCCGTTTCTTAACTTTAATATATATTTTGCTTTATGCCAAAAAAAAAAATTTATATATTTATTTGACCACATTCATAAAATTATGAAGTTCATTCATGAATAAACCGGTCTAAGCCACAAATGAATGTTTCTATCTTCAAAATGATGATGAAGAATCGGAAATAATTTTTTAAAACAACAATAAAATAATTGTCAAATTCAACCAATTGACATGAATTTGGTCACGGATATATGTTAACATTAAATCAAACTATAATTGTCCAAAATGTCCAATATTTTCATTCATTTTTAAATAAAGTTGAGAGTTTGAACTTTTGTGAATTAAGAAAAAAAATTATATTTATTTGAGTACAAGGCCATAGAAACTCCATGAAGGAGAGACAATTGGGCCATACTAGAATGCATAAAGAGCCTGTTTGAATTTCAATTGAATATAATTGATTATAAAAATAATTAATTAATATGATTAATTTTAATTATAATTAATTATCTTGCAATCTATTTAGATATTGTTTTTTTTAAAGTTGATTTTGACATAATTGAATATGCTTAGATAATTGAGTCAGAATTAACTTTAGTTGTCCAAATTACCATAAAAGACATTATTTTTTAAAATTAAATTATTGATAAATTTGTATCTCATATTATTAAATTTTTTAAATTTTATTTAATAAGTAAAATATATTATTTAAATTATATATCTGATTAATTATAAAAGTGTAAATTATATTAATATTAATCATTTAATTTAGAATGGAAAAATTCATTTCAGAAGCTGCCAAATCCAGATTATGGAAAAATGCGATTCCAAGCCTGTTGATCAATTAATAACATTTTGTGGTGCTTGGATAATTTAGGGCAAAAAATCAATTATGGGCTAAAAAATCAATTTTTTGCCCTATCCAGACAAAACAGGCAGAAAAAATTTGTACCCTAGTGGCGGATGAATACAAAGCATAAAATCTAAGTTGTCATAGGATGTTTGGCAAAATCCCTTTTTTTTTTATTTATAATATTTGAGAGGAGATGTGTTTGGGAGACATTTCAATAAGTCAAGTTTCAAGTTTGTAACTACAGAACGAACTTGGACAAAAAAGATGAAAAAACCGGTGGTGTTGGCTAGTTCCTATTCTATACCATAGATTTTGAAGCTGATAGTGTTTCAAAGGTGAAATTTTTTATATGAAGACTTTTCTTTCAAACTGTGACTTGCAATGAAGCTTTATAAATGAATATGTCAGTCTCGCTATCTAGCCCTCTGTGTCCTACTTGCAATATTGATGTTGAATCTATTGAACATATGCTTCTCACTTGTGGTTTGGTCAAACCGATCCGGTTTGATTGTCTTTTATGTATCCTGAAAAACTCAAATGCTGTACACAATTTTATGATGTGGTTTGAGAGACTATTATGATGTGATGGAGAAGACATGGATTAAATGATGGCTTATATAGCTTTTTTTTTTTTTTGGTTGGAATATATGTAAACTGAGATGTGCTTATATTTTTCAAAATGTTCATCCGGATCCTCTAACTCTCATAAAATCTACAAATTGCATGATTAAAGACTTTTGGGGTGTTAATGAATTGTTTCTCTCTAAATCTCCTTGTAAATATGAAGGAGACACCTGCAGTACACTTGATTGAATGTATGTAAAAATTGTTGTAAAAATTAATTCTGGATAGACCCATAACAAATATTTTTGTATTGAAAATTCTAAATACTTTATTCAATCATTAATACAAGTCACTTTTGATTATCCTGTTAGAACGAAGAAAATGTTATTTACATAAAATTGATAAGAATTGTTTTAGTTTCCATCTTTACTTAATACTATAACTTTAAAAAGCATATGCTTTGCGAAGGGAATTAATGAAATCTCTAGATAAAACCCACATTCCTTTGGGCAGAATACTTGGCAAGGATATCTTTGATTTTTCTTTTTCCGGTAAACATCTTGTTTGAAAATTTCAGAATTCACTGAACCACAAAATTGTCAAAGAAAAAGAATGTGTACAAATTCATTGAACCAACCTATATTATATATATCTAATATAAAAATAAGAAAAAAAAAAGCTATTTGGGTGTCGCTGCAAAGATGAGCCCAAAATCGTTTTTAACATTTTTTAGGCCTACCTTGCGACAACTTGTAGGAATTGGTGCTCCAAAACATCTTGCATTTGCCCAAATTTATCTTTTGTTTAATATAATTTTCCTTCTTCTGCTCGGTGTGGGACCACTGACTCTACCCATTGATTGTTGACTCATCTTTCTTCGCAGAAATTCAATTTACTTGCACGGTTTTTTTTTATTTTTAATTTAAATTGTCTCCACGTCCTTGACTACTCCAAGCACCCGTAATTCATGGAGCAAGTCATGCCTCCCTATGCCCTACCGTTACTTTGACGCCTTGCTTTTCTTATTTTTCTTTTTATTTTAACGAAAACCAAATTTCCAGAGGACAAACAATTTTCCTTTCATTTGTTTCTCTTCTGAGTTGTAATCCATCCATCTACTTTCGTCTCTGATCCCTTCTTGCAGATTGGCCATAATGCATATTCCCATGGCTTCCATTACTCTCTTCTTGTTGCAGTGCTATTTACAAACCAATTTATAGCTCAACACAAAATCATTCCACCGTCATAAGTTTGGGCTCATCGATCTCTCCAAGAAACTCTACCTGGTGGATGTCAGCCTCTGGTCTATTTACCTTCGGCTTTTATCCACAAGGTGACGGCTTTGCCGTTGGGATATGGCTCAAAGGGTGAGCCTCAAAACACCACCGTTTGGATGGCTAACCGTGACAATCCACCAATATCCTCTGATTCTATCATCAAATTAACCAAAGACGGCCTGATGCTGCTTCAAAGCAAGAAAGAGGATGTGTTACTTACTCATGAGTATGTGCCAGAGCCTGCAGATTCAGCGTCTATGCTTGATTCTGGGAATTTCGTGCTGTACGATAAAAATCAAAGTGTTATCTGGCAAAGCTTTGATTTCCCCACCCACACCATATTAGGAGGTCAGAATCTACTTAGAGATTATGAATTGGTCTCTGCTTTGTCCAACTCAGACCACTCAAGTGGATATTTCGCACTCCATATGGGCAACAAAAGTCTTTTTGCCTACCCTCGAAACAGATCAGCAGACTCAGAGGAGTCTTACATTTACTTGTTCATAGATATTCCTGACAATTTGGACTATAGGGTTAGTTTGAATGTTACAGGATTTCTTGAAATATGGGATGGTGAGAATGTTTCTTCCATTCATGTTCTGGCCAATGGTACCCATCTTAGAAAGACCACAACCTCAGTCTACCGAGCAACACTTGATGTAGATGGGAATTTTAGAATGTATGTCCACCAATTTCAGAAGAATGCTAGTCCAACCATGCAAGTTATGTGGGGGGCCTTGTCTGATCAATGTGAAGTGAATGGTTTTTGTGGCTTCAACAGTTATTGCTCCACCAACGGCAGCACATCTGTATGCCAATGTTATCCTGGATTCATGCAGTTCTAAAGTAGCAGTAACATGTTCTTGGACTGCAAACAAATCAACAATGACATCTGTGAAACCAGTTCAGATCCACAGGTGCTCTACAACGTTACTTACATGACAAAGTTGCAATGGAGAACTTCTCCATATTTGGTTATGCCATCAGAAAGGGAAGCTTGTGAAATGTCTTGCCTGGAAGATTGCAATTGTGGGGCGGCGCTATATAAGAATGGCAGTTGTGAGAAATATAAGCTCCCGCTTCAATATGGCAGACATAATGTTCAGAACGCTTCAGGCACTGCCATCTTCAAGACGCCTTTAAGAAATAAAACCACTACGGACTACCCTATGGGGGGCCTTGTCTGATCAATGTGAAGTGAATGGTTTTTGTGGCTTCAACAGTTATTGCTCCACCAACGGCAGCACATCTGTATGCCAATGTTATCCTGGATTCATGCAGTTCTAAAGTAGCAGTAACATGTTCTTGGACTGCAAACAAATCAACAATGACATCTGTGAAACCAGTTCAGATCCACAGGTGCTCTACAACGTTACTTACATGACAAAGTTGCAATGGAGAACTTCTCCATATTTGGTTATGCCATCAGAAAGGGAAGCTTGTGAAATGTCTTGCCTGGAAGATTGCAATTGTGGGGCGGCGCTATATAAGAATGGCAGTTGTGAGAAATATAAGCTCCCGCTTCAATATGGCAGACATAATGTTCAGAACGCTTCAGGCACTGCCATCTTCAAGACGCCTTTAAGAAATAAAACCACTACGGACTACCCTATCTCATTTGAAAGGAAATTTCACATTGATGACAAGAAAAGTCTTATTTTAACTCTACTCCTGACTTTGGGTTCCATTTCATTCATTTCCTTAGTGTTTGCGATGTCTATTTTCTTTTTCTACAAGCATCAAGTCTATTCATACACAAAGCTTTCTGAAAGTGCCAATCTGATGAGGTTTAATGAGGATTGTTGTTTACGAACATTTTCCTTTGATGAATTGGTGAACTTAACAGGAAACTTTGAAGAAGAGATTGGTAGAGGATCTTTTGGAATAGTTTATAAGGGTGCAATATGCGGATGTAACAAAAGGATTGCCGTGAAGAAATTAGATGTAGTTGTTGATGAAGGGGAGAGGGAGTTTCAAGCTGAAATAACTGCAATTGGCCGAACTCATCATAGAAATCTTGTTAAGCTCATTGGTTATTGCATTGAGGGTTCAAACAAGCTTCTTGTCTATGAATATATGAGCAATGGGTCATTAGCAGATTTTTTATTCAAAGCTGAAATGCGCTTGTCATGGGGACAAAGAGTCAAGATTGCATTGGATGTAGCAAGAGCCATTTTGTATCTCCATGAGGAGTGTGAAGTTGTATTGTCCATTGCAATATTAAGCCACATAATATACTTATGGATGAAATGTGGACTGCAAAATTATCTGATTTTGGACTTGCAAGGCTAGTAATGCCAGAACATTCCAGAGCTACAGATGGAAATCAAATAACAAGCAGTTACATGGCACCTGAATGGCAGAAAGCTGCATCAACATCTGTAAAAGTCGACATCTATAGTTATGGCAAAGTATTGCTAGAGATCATATGTTGCAGACAGAGTATAGATTTACATGCTTCCTCCACTGAGGAGATAATGCTTTCAAGCTGGGTACATAATTGCTTTGTGAGAGGGGATTGAGCAAACTAGTAGTAGATGAAGATGTGGAATGGAACACAATGGAAAGAATGGTGAAGGTGGGGTTGTGGTGTGTCCAGGAGGACTTATCTTTACGTCCTTCAATGAAGAATGTGATATTGATGTTGGAAGGGATAAAAACGTATCCCAATTCCTCCATCACCAACCCCCCTTGTTTGATAATCTTCAATATTATATGGAGCTTATTGCATAAGAATATTAATCAATCCATGTAATTGTCCATTCTCATTCCAGTTTGTATTTACCCTATCTATGTATCCTAGCTAAGCATGCTATTGCAATATATATATATATATATATACATATATTATTCTTGTACATCCACAACCACAAATGCATGTTACTTTATACATCTACTATCTTATGCTAATAATGTATTGGGAAAATACAATAGGTTTCTCTATACTTTAATTGTGTTTTGTTTTTAGTCCCTTTAGTTTTATTTTGTTGTTTTCAGTAGTCCTTTTAGTATGATCAATTGGCAGTGTTAGTTACAGGTTATTTTTGCCCTCAAACTTTTCACTTTGGGTGCACAAGTGCCCTAAATTTAATTTTAATTTAGGTCATTTTCCCCCCTAACATTTGAAAAATTCATCAGTTTTTGCCCTACCGTTAATGTCCTATCACACTCATGTGAAATGCTTGTATTATTTAATGACATATCATAAATGCAAAACTTGATTAACTTATCTCATAATCAAGTATATACTATCAAGTCAAGAAGACATAATCAATATGTACTCTCATACCATAATCATATATTCATACTTATCTAATGTCAAGCATTCACTTGAGCACAAATTACAACTCAATCATGAAACTAAATTCATCATTGATGATTCTTATTATAGCAACAAAATCCTCAATCATTAATATAAACTTGCTTGCATTTAACAAATAACTCATAATTGCTGACAACAATTATCTAATAGAATTAAACTCCCGGTTACCTCATCAACTCTTAAGTTACCACCCCAAGAGTACAACTTGGATTCCAAGAAAGCCTTCGATAATCCCAAATGCCTCAAAAGTAGTTAATCCATAGATGAGGCTTAACAAATACCATTAATGAATAATCATCACTAATTAGCTATTAATACAGCTAAGGCATAAGTCCTCCATTAATAATATTAGCTATAAACAGTCATATTTCTAACTTTTATTAACTTATTTAAATTGCTTAATAAACACTATTAAAGCCCTAGTAGAGAGTTATTGTTCCCTCTCAACCTCTCTCTCAAACCCCGTTCATTTCTCCTTCTAGAAACACTAATATGCAAATTTAAAAATCACTTCGTCCATCATTACACATAACGCCACCTGCCATGTTGAATTGCCCAAAATGGCAACTCTAAGTTAAGCCTAACAATTTGATCCCAAAGTGGTGTAATGGCTCTTCTAAGCCTCATACATGGTCCAACAAACCCAAAGGCCATACAAGGTGAATCTTGGTTAAATTAAATATGAGTAAGCTTAAAAGTATTTGTACTTGTCAACATCTTAAGAAAATGGTCCAAATCATACTACATATATCTATAAATGATGGGTCCAAAAATGAAGCAGGTTTTTAGTGGGGTCTAATTTTTAAATTGTTATGATTTTTTAATTTAATTTTTTACATTAATTAGGTTTAGACTCATCTAACTTTTTAAAATTGTTTCAGTTTCTAGATCAACTTTGCTTTTTAGCTCACTGATAGCTCAGCTCTAATCAAATCCAGCTTAACCATGAAAATAAATTTTTAATCTAAACTGATCTGTTAACAACTCTAATCGACAATCCAATTGATTTGACCATATGATCTGATTCTTAAAACAATGATGTGCCTCTCAACTTTTTTTAGGTGCATTTTACACCCTCAAATAATGGGTGACGACACAATATCAGCCTCCATGTATTAAAATCAAAGCAATGTTATCTCTCCCTTAAATATCTGGTAATTTAAATCACTATAGTTGACTAAGAAGATTACAAATAATTTTAATTATCAATGCAAAAAATAATAATTAACATATAAACCTTAATATATAAACAAAATTGGTTTGAGATCTTATTCTTGACCGGGTTACTGAATTGAAGTTAAAATATCATTTATGCAAATGTTCTATAAATCTTATTTCATGAAAGTATGGCTCTATTTAAAATAATGAAGTTCAAACCAACTAAAATTCATGTGAGTACAGGTAAAAGCTCTTGTTATTAAAGTAAATGGTTGGAAGTTCAAATTTCAAACCTTGTGCATCTAGCAATTTAGTTGGAAGAACATAAAGAACATAAAAAAAAAATAATTTTATTAGACTCAACTAAAAATATCAAAGTAATAAAAAATGAAACAAAGAATTACATAATGGGTTCATTAACACAGGAAAGAAAAATCTAGTGGAAATTTAAGTTTGAGTTAATTATGCTTAAGTCAAAATATTAGATATACCAAAATAAAATGCAAGAAATAGTGGGGACAAAATCAAAAACTAATTTACATGTAATTTTCTTAAAGTACGATACATTGAAAAGTCAAGTCAAGTACATAAATTAAAACAAAATAATTCTGTGGAGTGTGAAGTCGTGACTAGCACGGAATTATCATTTTCTTTGAAAGAGTACAAAGACGAGAGAGAGCGAGAGAGAGAGAGAGAGAGAGAGCAGTAGTTGTGGCCGCCTGCATGTAGTAATTTAATTGGAAGAAAATAAAGAACTTTAAAATAAATAATTTTATCAGACTGACTTAAAATGTCAAAGTAATAAAAAATGAAACAAAGAATTACCTAATGGGTTCATTAAAACAAGAAACAAAAATATAGTGGAAATTTAAGTTTGAGTTAATTATGCTTGAGTCAAAATATTAAATATACCAAAATAAAATACCAAGAAATAGTGGGGAGAATACCAAAAACCAATTTACATGTAATTTTTCTTAAAGTCTCACGGTAACATGCACGGTCTGCCCATATTAATGGACCTTGTATTTCTATGAAACTTCGACAAGTCAAGTCAAATCAAGAAATTAAAACAAAATAATTCTGTGAAGTGTGAAGTCGTGACTACCAAGGCATTATCATTTTCTTTGAAAGAGTACAAAGACCAGAGAGAGCAATAGTTATGGCCGCCTGTATCAATCTTCTCTTTAGTGGATTATTAGCTATGGCGGCCATCGCATCAAACATCCCCTTTTTGCTGTTGGCATGTTTTATATTTGGAAGAGCTGAAACAGTATTCGCTGAGGGATAACACTGAACTCCACTCTTTTCCCAAATATTCATCCCACTTCATGGCCTTCACAATCCGGTCGATTTGCATTTGGCTTTTATCCACAAGCTGGCTATGGCTTCAAAGTCGGAATTTGGCTTACTGGTGCGAAGAAACAAATTGTATGGACTGCCCATCGCGATGATCCTCCTGTATCTTCAAATGCAAGGCTTCAACTAACTATGAACGGTGTGCTTCTCTTGCAAACAGATCAAAGGCAAAACAAGCTTGTTGCTTATAGCGACAATCAAACAACTGTTTCCTTTGCCTCCATGCTTGATACTGGTAACTTTGTACTGCACGACAAAAACTCTAACATGCTTTGGCAGAGTTTCAATCACCCTACTGATACCATGTTAGGGGGTCAAAGCCTACATCATGGGGATCAATTGCTCTCTAGCTCATCCGATACTAACCAATCATCAGGAAGATTTCAGCTCTTGATGCAGAAGGATGGAAACCTAGTTTTGTATCCAGCATATTCAGCTAGCAGAACATCAGATGCCTACTGGGCCTCGGATTCTTATTATGATGACACTAAAGTCAATTATTATTATCTTTTTCTCAACAACACAGGTCCTGAACCTCTGCGAATCATAGATGGCAATAATTCCAACAGGGTTGCAATTTGGAAATCAGATGATTGGCTAGCTTTGGATAGTTCCCATCCTTCTTCCAACACTATTATTTATCGAGCAACTGTTGATCCTGATGGAATTTTTCGACTCTATGCTCATTTTGATGATAAAAGTGGCAAGCGTCAAGTTAAAAATTTGTGGTCAGCACCGGATAATCTGTGCAACGTGAAGACGTTCTGTGGGTTCAATAGCTATTGCACCTATAATGACAATCAACCCTACTGCGAGTGTCTCCCCGGAAATGACTTTATAGATCCAAGTAAAGAGAATCTTGGCTGCAGAAGGAACTTTTTAGAGCCAGAGTGTCAAGATGGAAAAGAAAGTGAAGCCTTGTATAAGATGATTAATTTGGGTAACCTTGAGTGGTATTCCTTATGCCGAGGAGCCTGTTCATGTCCGAGATGAATGCCAATCTTCTTGCTTGAAGGACTGCTAGTGTGGAGCTGCACTTTATGACGCCGAAAAGAGGCGTTGTAAGAAACAAGAGCTTCCATTAAGATATGTCATAAGAAATATGCAAGGGTCATCCGTATTATACTTAAAGGTGGGACTTAGAAGCCTTAAAAGCAACGACACGCCGCCACCTGAACCAAAACCCATCACAAGTACAAGTAAAAAAGCCATTGTGTTTATTTTTATTATCATCTTAGGGTTTGCTATTATTTTGTGTTTTGCCATTGCAACCTCTAGCCTTCTAATTTACAAGATTGGAGTTTTAAGTTACAAAAGATTGCTGGAGATGGGAGATTTTGGATTGAATGAAGGGGTTACTCTGAGGGTATTTTCATACAATGAGTCGAGAAAAGCAACAAATGGTTTTAGACAAGAGTTGGGTAAGGGTTCCTTTGGATGTGTTTACAAAGGAATTTTACACAAAGGAAGAAAGATAATTGCTGTGTAAAGACTAGAGAAGTTAATTGAAGAAGGAGAGAGAGAATTTCAAGCGGAAATGCAAGCTATTGGAAAAACCCACCATAGAAACTTAGTTCGCTTGTTGGGATATTGTGCTGAGGGATCCAAAAGGCTTCTAGTTTATGAGTTCATGAGCAATGGTACCCTTGGAAATTTCATCTTTGGGGACAACACTTTACATCCAGATTGGGATCAGAGAAGAAGAATAGCACTAGATGTTGCAAAAGGGTTATTGTATCTCCATGAAGAATGTGAAGCTCCTATCGTTCACTGCGACATAAAGCCTCAAAATATATTGATGGATGAGTTTTGGACAGCTAAAATATCAGATTTTGGTCTTGCAAAACTTCTAATACCGGATCAAACAAGGACTTTCACTCAAGTCCGAGGAACAAGAGGATATGTGGCTCCAGAATGGGATAAAGCCATTCCAATAACAGTGAAAGCAGATATTTACGGCTATGGAATAATGCTTTTGGAAATAGTATTTTGTAGAAGAAACATGGTGGTTAACATATCAAA